AGAGTCTGCCATGCTAAGGCGCTTAAGAGCTGGGATAGGTATAGATAGCATAATTCATGCCTGGGAAGCTCCATCTGTCACCTAATCTCCTTATATAATCAGACCGTGATTTCCTACCCCTATCTGATACAGCTGCCCCTATTCTCTATGGCTTCTTTAGTGCCTTATCATCTGTAACTAGGTCTGATTTCCTCAGTTCTGGGAGCCACCACAATAAACAGTGTTGTGATGGGACTGGGGTGGAGGTCAGGGCGAGGAACCTGCTGAAGTGAGAGCATCTAGTGCCTGCCCTGGGTCTTCCCGCAGAGATGGGCATTTGCAGGCACCAGGAGCCAGCCTTGCCTTGAGTTTTGATTTCACCCAGTGCCTAACTTTTATTTGTCCTAAGTGTAACTTGGAAACAGATGGGTTTGCGTGGGGCCAGTCCCAACGATCTTGATATCAAACAAATGCAAAACACAGATCCAGCTGCAAGTGTCATAGGCAAGGCAGACTGTTGCTGGCATCTCCATGGGCCCCGTGAGGGACCGTGCTCTACAGCAGACAGCAGAGAGGATGGAGTGATGAAACTTTCATCTCTCTCCTTAGAGCACCTTCTACAGCTCACCCTGCACCCACCACACCACCACTTGGAAAAGCTACTCTGCTAGGCCTCTCCAGATCCTCTCTCCAAAATCCCATTTCCCAGCGCACCCCACTTGGTATGGCAAAAAGAAAAAAAAAAAAAGCCAGCTAAACAGCAACTGACCAAGTGAAATCCAGATGTGAGCCTCTGTGCCTCTCAGCATCTCAAATAAAGCTCTGATGAGGATGAGTTCAACATATTTGTGAGGAGGTCTCCAAACACCTTTTGGAGACAGGGATTGTATACACACGCTGTCCGGTTTTGCAAGCTACCCTGGTGGCAACAGAGGGGGAAAGCACCCTCGTGTAGCAGTAGAGCGTTCAGTTGATTGTACTGAGTGGGCGTCTGGATGGGAGCCCTTACATATGGAAACCCAGGCTTCCCCCAAGAGGTCACTGGCTGAGCTTCAGTCTGTAGGAGACAAAAAAGAGACCTCAGCCTGAAGAGCTGCATGAAGGTTGCCTTGAGGCTGAGGCCATGGTGGGTCACTAACTGTAGATAATGGTCCCTTGTCTCACCACAGGGCCCCCAACCCCTTTCCTGGGGCGAAGGGAGAAACACACTAGGTGAGCCACAGTCACCAGTAAGGAGAGGAGGAACAAGGAGCAGTTCTGGACCATAGGACAGATTGCTGGGTGCAGGGCAGAGTTGGGGGTGAGAATACACACGCTCCTCTCAGAGCTCTTCCGGAAGGCGACAAAGAACAGTTTGGTCTGGGCGTGTGGGCAGCCACCAGAGGACTCTGACGTGTGTGAACTAGAGGGAGGGGACTGAAAAGGGCCTAGAGCCAAGCTGGGTGACCCATCAAGAAGGCAAGGACCTGCCAGCGGTATGGGAAGGATGAAAGTGTGGTGGAGGTAAGGATGCAGGACCAGAAGAAAAAAACAGCCATGGAAATTAGAAGTGAGAGGGGCACAAACGACTTTGATAAAGACTGACAGAGACGCTGAGAATTCAGCTCAGTGGCATAAATGCCTGCCTGGCAAGCTCACGGTCCTGAGTTTGATCCCTGCTATCATCCAAAAAAAAAAAAAAAAAAAAAAAAAAAAAAAAAAAAAGACTGACAGAGAAAGAGTGCTGTGCTTGGACATGTGTGTTTGTCCATGTTTATCTCGTTCTCTTGGCCTTGGCCCATGGTCCCAGCTTGTCAAGGCCACTGTGAACGGCCAGGCATCTGCCAGATGGCTCCCCATTCAGCCTGCACAGGCTGTGTCCTTACGCATCTGCTTCTCTGCCACAGGCAACTTTGCTCCAAGGCGTGATGTGGTCCCAGTCCCAGTGGAGGCCTCCTGCTGCCAAATTCCACCTAGGAGCCCACAGGGGTATGTCACAGGCACAGGCGTCATCTTGCCCCTGACTCCCTGTGTTTTTAACGAAGTTTCCCCCCACCCCCGGCAGCTGTACCTGAGCCCAGGCCCAGCAGGCATGGAAATACCTAACCACACTGTTCACTGTAACTGTGTCCAAAAAGAAAATGAGCTTGGCCCAGCGCAACTGGCCTTCCACGGGGCCATGTTGGCTCCCTGAGACTGTTGCTCGCCTTTTCATGGGTTTGGGCCCCTTCTCTGGAGGACCAGTGTGAAGTCTGGAGTCTGTCATGTTGAGGACTCATCTCCCTAGCTTCCCCTCCCTGTTTGCCTGGAGCGCTCCCATTTGTCCACCTCTGTGCTGGGAACTGGCCGGAGAGGTCCCAGTCTGTTTTCCCCCGGGGCTTAGCGTTTGCCTGTGTCGGGGGGGTTGGGGGGTAACTGGCCACTGTGTAGGGAGAAGCAGAATAAGCTGTAGTCAGAGAAAAGGGCCTTGGTACCAAGTCTCACAGGAAGGATGGGTCCAAAGCTGGGATACTGTCATTCTGGTCTCTGTGGCCCAGGAAGCTGGGCGGGCTCCTGTTCCTCCCTCCTCCAGGCCGTGGAGGTCAGCTCTCTAAATTGCTAGTTATTCCTTTCTTCAATTAAGGAGGATTCTTCTGACGCAGGAAGTTAACTCCCACCAGTTAATCTAATGGCCTTGAGTGCTGATGTGTTTGCTCTGTGAAGGCAGGGTTGGAGCTGCCTTGGCAGCTGCTAACAGGCATGCAGGAGCTGCCCTGGGGCCAGGCCCACACTGGCCGCTGGACTCCTCTTCTACCTCTCCCTGCTAGCTGCAGATGGGGCTGATTGCCAAAACGGCTTAAAGAGGAGAAGACAGGAATGGAGGGGCCGCCTGCCAGGAGAGCTTAAAGAGAAGACAGCAATGGAGCTAGGGAACCTGGGTCCTCACACAGCCAGCCTGGCCCACTGTCTTACCATCTGAGCAATGGAGAGAAGTGTGGAGAGTGAACTGGTAAGAGGATTTCTGAAGTCCTAAACTTGGCACTTTTCTATCTCTGCTGGTCCCACTCCCTCCCCAGGCAAGCAGCTTAGGGCTTAAGTGGGAGAGTGGTTTCAGTGTCTTCTGTGAAACATTTTCTGCAGGTAGGATTAGCTTGCCTGATCCATGGGTGGGGATGTACCCCTCCCCCAACCCAAGATTGTACCAGGAAACAGGGCCACTGGTAGCCTGGGTCACTATTGCTGCTGTGAGCCAAGGGCTGGCTATGTCCCCTCTGTGGCCTGTTTACTGCTTTTTCTTCAGTCAGTGGCTTCTTTAGCAGTGCCCACTCACACTGCTGCAGATTGGTCTCTGAGCTCCCCCAGTGACAGGAGGTGTGAGGACAGGGTGGCGCAGTGGACAGAGAACAGCCCTGAGCACCCAACTTTCTCGGCCTCTTTTTTCCTGAGTAAATGGGGGTGGGAGGGTGAAGGGGGTGACAAGGGGTGCCTCAGAGAATGCACGCCGGTTAAACAGCAGGCTACAAACAAAACTGAGTACACTGTCTGGCCAAAAAGTATTCACGGCTGTTCCCATGCCCAACCTGGCCCCGGAATGGAAAGGGCTTCGGGGTCCATTCATGCCCTGTGCTCAGGACCTGCCTGCCTGGCTCTGAGATCCTGAGCTGCCAGGAGGAAGGGGCTTCTCATGAGGTGAGGCTTGCAGAGCTAACCCTAGGACAGTCCTTGTCAAGCTGGGATGGTTGGGCACCCTGGATGAAGCCACCCAGAAAGGTTTGTTGGGGTGGGGTGGGGGGAGCCTGGGAAGTCTGTTTTGTTGGTGAGGCATCAAAGGCAGAGAAGGACCTGAGTGTACCGCACAGGATGCAGCTGGCTTTCAGCTCCAGAAAGAGCCTTTACCTTCTCGCTTGAGGTACTGAGTTGCCTGTCCTTATCATTGACAGGGAGCAGAAAGGGCACTTAACAGAGATCCCATGGGCAGAGTCAAAGCCCCCGGAGTGGGAGCTGGACTAAAAGTTCACCAAGGCCTCTTGTAGCCCTGTGTGTGCTTGGTTTTCACTAGGGAGCTAATGGAACCCAGAAATGGGGAACCATGGGGTGGATTCCTGCCGTACCAAGTGCAGTGGGCAGGATGGGTGGCTCCTGCCTGGGATGGTGGCTGGAGGAGGGTGGACAGCAGCACTCTGCACGGCTGCCCATGTCTCTGAGGGGCAGACAGCTGGATGCAGGGGACACGGGACTATCGAAGTCTGGCTAGATACTGTTTGCACCCTAGAGCTGGCTCAGTCCTGAGCTAGGGAGAGGCCCACTTACTCCTCTAGCCTGCCTCTGGGGACCCTGTCTCTCAAGCACCCCCAGAAATGACTTTGTGGGAGCTGAACTGTGGATTCCGTACTGGCACTGGGCAGACACCACCACCCAGGTCACCTAGCCCCAGGAGGCCTGCTTTCTGGAATGCCCAAGTGCAAGGTGTACGGAGAGGAAGGCAGCTGCTCCCCGCTGGCCTGGAGTCCTGGCCAGGCCACTGCAGTCTGCACGTGTCTGACTGGTTCCTTCAGAGTGAGGGGTGCAGATCCATGCCTCTTTCAGACTGGAGAGGAACCAGCACCACCGGAGCTGGAGAGCAGGGGTGAGGAGGGCCCGTCTCTATCTCTGATCTTGGGGAACTTTTCTCTTGGCTGTTGGGAACCTCTGGTACTTGCCTTCCTTCCCTTGGTTCGGTCACCCTGTTCTGCTGCAGGTTTTGGGTCCCTGGTCTGCTGAGTGTCCTCCTGCCCTCCGTGGGTGTTTCTGCCCTGGGAGCGTCTCTCACGGGCGCTGCGTCTCCAGGTCTGGGCACCAGGCTCCCCAGTTCTGTCTCTATCCCCGTCCGGATCCAGGGTCCCGGGTCCCAAAGCCCTGACTCCCCAGAGGTTTCTGCGCCGCTCCGGGCCCCCGGTCGGGCGGGGTGCGGGCCGCGGGGCGGCGCTGGGCGCTTCCTCCTCCCTCCCCGGCGGCGGGGCGGTGCGGCCGCCGCTCGGCGCCTTTAAGGGAGCGGAGGGAGCGGCGAGGCGGCGGCGGCTGCGGTGGCGGCGGCGGCGGCGGCGGGCGCGGGGCTGGGGCCGCGCCCGGATCCGCGAGGAGCGCGAGCGCGCAGCGGAGCCGCCGCCGGGACATGGCCCAGGCGGGCGGCGCAGGTGAGGGCGGCGCGGGGCAGGGCGGGCGAGGGGCCGCTGCAGGTGAGCCCGCCAGGCGGGCGGGGGTCCGGCGGCGGGTGGTGGTGGTGCCGCTCGCCTCGCGTCCTTCCGGTGCCCTGGGTCCCTCGCGGGCACCTCGTCCCCTCCCAGAGCCCTCCCAGGGCCAGGTCCGGGCCCCCGTGCAGGCTTGCTGCCGGGGCTCTCCGCGCCCCCAAGGCCTCGGGCAGGGCCGGAGCCCCTATCGGAGCGGAGGTCCCGGGGCCGCCCATCCACCCCGCGCCCGCACCGTCAGCCGGGACGCGCCCCCTGGCGCTGCCACTCTCTCCAGCCCCCGCCCCAGCGCTCAGCTCCTCCGGGAGACCCAGAGTCTTTCTGAAAGAAGAGGGGTGCTCTGCACCGCCCGCTGGTCCCCACCCCCCACCGGGCGGCCTGTAACGCAGAGCCTCAGGTGTGAGGGGTGCAGGGGCGTGGCCGCTGCTGGGGTCCCACAGGCTGTGCCATCTGCGGGCTCCACCGGGGTAGCTGTGGTCTGAGAGTGGGTGTTAGTCATTTGCTCATTCATTCCGCCCGACGTCCATTCACCAGCATCGCTCTGTGCCAGGCCCTGGGCCAGGCGCTAAAGGATGATGTCCCTGTTTGCACACTCTGGGCCCCATGGTGCCTTGGGAGGCTGAAGTTAGGGAAATCCTGTGCCCGCAGGGCCGGCCTCACCGCAGGCAGCACAGGGTACGAGCACGGTGTCAGCAGTGCTGGCTTGAGGGGTGACAGTGAGACGCTCCCGTGAACCTACACCCGTCCTGTGACGTTGGCAGGGGCCACGCCATCCCCTGGGCCCATACATGATGATAGTGATGGAATGAGTGTGAATTTACCTGTGTGCACACTTGGCTGATGGTAAATTCTTCTAGCCCTGTATGTCCGGGACCTGGACCAGGCACCACTGCCCCTGCTGCTGTACTGGGCTTGTGAGTTAGGTCCCTGAGAACATCCCCGATTTAGGTCCCCAGGATTCCTGTTGAGGTGAGGTTGAGGATGTGAAATGCAGGCAGTACAGGACACATCCAAACACCCAGTTCTCACTTCTCTCCTTCTCCCCTCCTAGGAAGGCTGGAAAATGTTTTCTACTTCCCTCTCCCTTCCTCACCCCTTTCCTCAAAAGAACACAGGCAGCGTATGTGTCTTGTCCCCTGTCCCATGCTGTGTGTGCTTCTGTGTGTGCATACACCTGGACCCCGTGTACACAGGTGACTTGTTCAACATAAAAAAAAAAGGAAGTTGGTGTTTGTCACTCGAAGATGCATCAGCCCTGTGCTGAGCCCTTTCCTGCCTGCTGATCCTGGGAGGTGGGAAAACCACCCTCCAGCCTCTTTTCAAACATCTGGAAATAGACACCCAGGGAAATAACTTCTTTGGCCCAGGAGGGTGGAGGAAGCTCCGACTCAAACTAGGTCTGCTGAATTCCAAGGGTTTCCTTCATCAGAGCCCTGGTGGCTCATCCCCCTTGCTGCCTGAGAGTGCTGGTCCTTGGCTCTCTTCCATGGCCTGTGAGTCTTTTGCTTGGTCTCTGGATTGAGTCAGTGGGATTTGTACCAGTGACAGGTGAAAAGGACTGTGCTGGCCTGGGCCCCAGCACCTCATACTGTCCTGACACTGTTTCTCACTGCAATTTCACACTTGGCCTGGTCCCTGAGCCCTTGCCCTGGGGCAGCACAGCTTTCCTCCTGTGTGATCCTCCGCTTAGCTCTTTGCTCCTTTTCTCAGCTCCGCCCCGGGGAGACTTTTGCTTCCCTGGGCAGCATTTGATTACCCTTCCCTTTCCCAGCTCTTTGCAGCTGCTTTGCATTTTGTGAATGTTCCCGTGCTTCTCTAGGCTTCCAGACCTAGTGAATCCCAAACGCATGGTAGTGTGTGGATAGCAATCGCATCTCCTCTGTGACGGCCTCGGTGAGGAACAGATGGACAGGCTTTAGAACACAGGCAGTCTTGGAGGTCAGCAGCCCAAGTCCCTCCCTCTCTTTATAGCCGGGGGAGGAGGGGGACTGAAGCCCTAGGTAGGAAAGCACGACAGACAGCGGTGGCTGTCCAGTACCACCTACCTCCATGGGCAGACAGGCAGAATGACCTGGCCTGCACTCAGAGGGATGACACTAGAGTGAGAGGGCTGTGGCGGGGTGGAGGGTGGGGGGCTGTGGGCGGAGCATCTGCTTCCCTTCCTCAGAGAGGGCTCCTCTGAAAGCTGTCCAGTAGGTCACCTACTGGGGGAAACAGTGGGGCTTTGGGCTCCAGGGCTGTGGTGGGGTCTCACTCCAGGTCATTACATTGTTGTCGTGCAGTTTACAGACTGAGCAGCCAGCCGTGGCTGTGCCAGCTACGTCAGGATCAGAAGAGAAACAGTTCAAGGACTTTCACAAAGCAGGAGAATTAGTACAGGAGGAAAATGCAGTCAGGTTCCAGAAAGGGTAGGAGGAATCTGTGGAAGGTAGATCCAAATGGGTTGCTATCAGTTCCCCAAACTGAGGGAGTTTTAGCCGCACACATAAAGCATCTTTACAGTGGCCAGGTGCCTAACTATAATTTGGGCACTTGTGAGGTTGAGGCAGGAGGAGTGCTGTGAGTTTGAGGCCAACTTGGACTACATAATAAGTTCAAGGCCAACCAGAACTATCTCAAAAAACAAAAGCAAAACAAGTAAGAAAAGAACCCCCAAAGAGTCCTATAGTGTCTCTCCCCACCCCATCTAGTCTTTAGGGCAGGCCGGGGGAGGGTGGGGAGGAGGTTCTTGTTTTTGCCCTAAGGGAGGACTGGGCTGGATTTAGCTCAGTGCCATAAACACCTGCCTGGCAAGCGCATGCTAGAGAGTTTGATCCCTGGTTACGCAAAAAAAAAAAAAAAAAAAAAAAAAAAAAAAAAAAAAAGGAGGGAAGACTGTCTTGAGGGTAAAGGCCTCCATTAAGGAGGTGGGGGCTAGGGTAGCGGAGGACTCAGGACGGTGCAGAGCTATTTGTGGACCAGAGCAGGCCAGTGATTGAATGGAGACCGAGAAGGCTGGAGTTTTCTAGGAGAAGGGTCTTTAAAGCTTGGCAGAATTTGTACATCAAGGTGAGGGGCCAGCCTGGCCCAGCTGCCTGTGTTGGGAGGGTCCTGCTGTGCCCCTCCCCTACCTTCCTCTGTATTGGCCCGGTCAGTCTCTCTATGCCCTAGCAGGCTGCAGGGGTGTCTGGGGACTTGGGACCATGCCCATGGGGGCAGCCATGACCCAGGCAGGGTAGGAACTGAGTGATAGACCAGAAGGGTCTGGGAATCAATAGGGAGGGGGAGGGAATGTTTAAAGAGACCAAGCTGCAGCCACATGGCTGAGCCTTCCAGGCTGGAGGAACCAGTTTACACCCAGGTGCTGGCCTCTGATCCAAGGGGCGGGGCTGGCCCGTGCAGTGCATCAGACCTGTCATTTAAGTCAGTCAATCCTGACTCAGGGTGGGAGGGACGCTCCCTCTAAGCCTTGTTAACGGGGTGGGAGGGGGTACCTTAAGGCCCAAGGAAGGCTGGGGTTTCCCAGGGTCACACAAAGTGATGGCAGAAACCTGTGTGTTTGCTGAGTTGGCTTCCTTTATTGGCCTTCCTGGAAGGCACATGTGCCTTATGTCACCCTAAGTCAGAACTCTTCTGAAGTGACTTGCTCTGGGGCACCCAGGGGCAGGGACCAGGGGGTGGGCTGCTCACCACTGGTGGAAACACCTGGAAGGTTGAGAGGGGAATAGGGCTGAGGGTCTCTGGACTTTGGGGAATTCCCACTCCTAGGGCACCAGGACAGTTTTTCTGTTTATGCTGGAAGCAGCATTGCCTTCTACAAGGAGAGAATACTCACAGTTTCAGGCCCTGGGTGGGCAGCCAGTGTCTAGGCTCCTGGCTTTCCCAAACTCGACCTCCAAAAGCCTTCCTCCACCTCCGTGCCACTGGGGACATGCTGGAGCTTGAGCAGTTCTCGTGTTCTCTGGTCCCTGTGGAATTACCTGCCACAGAGGCAGAGCCAGGTTCCAGCAGGCCCCAGCTCAAGACCATTCATAGCCCTGAGTCTGGCCTGCGGCATCATTGCATGAGCAAGAATGGGTGCTGCCAGGACAAAAGGCCCACTTCCTGTATGTTCCCTTGGCCTGGTCCACCTCACCCCCTTCCCCTCCCTGAGACGTGTCTGGAGGGCCAGTGATGGGACCCAGAAGGTAAGGCTGTGGCTAAATGCTGCTCCTTGGCCCTCGCTGGGGCTGAGTCTGGGTGAGATAGGCTAGAAGGATGGGATTCCTCACATACATTGTGGCATGCTATGGTAGCTCATAGCTGGAGAAGCTTGAAGATCTTTCAGTTCACCTGTTAAATATGCATATTGGAAAAAAATATGCATGTTGGGAGTCAAGGTCAGAAAGGAAAAAGTTCCTTCTCGGAGGTGGATTCTCAGAGACCAGTCAGTGCAGCTTTGGGTATGGGGCTTCTTGATAGCAGCTAGCTACCAGGAATTCTCTCAGATTCCAGGCTTGGGGGAAGGAGGACAGGGTCAGAAATTCCATCCTGAGGACAATCTTGGTGCTGTCTTACTGCAGCTCTCCTGTCCAGCATCTTGACAGCCTGTCTTTGAAATAGGGTCAGCGTTATTCCCATTTTATGGATGATGAAATTGAGAGGTGTCTGGCTCTACAATCACATGTCTAGTTGGAGACAAAGCTAGAGTTAGCACTTAGGTCTCTTCTGCTCTTGCATTTAACATTCCCAGGAGTTAAATCCTCTGACAAAGCTGAGACCCACTTCTGGTCCTAGCTGACCTTAAACTATCCCCTCTGGGCCTCAGTTTTCTCATCTGTGAATAGGAAAGAGGAAGAAGAGTTTGGGAGTTAAGATTAAGTATTTTGCAGCTCCTAATGTGCTCTCCTCTCCTCACCTCTCACTGTGCTGAGAGGGGCCCTACCTCAGTGGGTTCTCTGGATGAATAGTTGAGTGCAGGGATAAAGAAG